ACATTTCATGCAAAAATTGCAGTGTTGTCGATAAGTATGGTGGTTATAGGTATTTTGTTATGTAAACCTGAAAATTCGATTCCTCCCCTATTTCTCTCCCACCTCTCACCCCGCCTCTAAATAATGAATTTCAGACTTTCTCCATCAATCCTACCACCGGTGTCGTACACCTGAAGCGAGACTTGGATTACGAGACCAGAACCTCGTACAAGATGTCACTTCTCGCTTCAGACGAAAATGTGGGTATTTAATATTAAATTTATACGACAATTCGGCTTAGTAAACTAGTACCATCACTTCGTGTAATGTGAACTAACTGGAATATTCCTCTCAGTTTCCTAAGTTTTTACGATTGAATTTCCTCTTCCCCTTTTTCCCTTTTTCCTTCGAAAAATTACGTAATCGAGCTAGCTCAGAAACTCTTTGATGTATCGCAGGATGTAGTATATAGCGGCATAAATAATTCAATCATTTTAGAAACCTAATCTTAGCTCATTTCCATTAGACTTTTACTCGTCTGCATTCCATAACCTCTTCTTGAAAGTGACTCTTTATATAGTTTTGAGTAATTGGACTGTTTAGGGAAGATCTGCGGTTGTATCACTAGAGTTTCTCGTACTACCTGTAGACGAATATCCACCAGTCTTCTCACAATCGAGCTACACTTTCCAAGTAAGATCATCGACTTTCCTTGCAGTTTGATCTTCTAAAAGTTCTGCTTATAGGTACCGCTTGACGCTGACATCGGGGCCATCATTGGAGAAGTCCGAGCTGTCGATGCGGATGGAGGCGTGCATGGCGTGCCATCATACCGCATTGAACCAAGCAATGCTCTAGTGATGGTGGAGGAAAAGAGTGGTTTAGTGAGTTCTTACCTTGAGAAATGTTGACTATATGAATAAATTCTTATTTAGTTAACTCTACGAAGCAGGCCAGACAAACGACGGAACCACACCATAGAACAGATCAATGTGATAGCTTCAAGTAGCGATACGCAGCAGACAAAAGCTACAGTGTATCTAGAGGTAAGCACGAGAATTCCCAAAAATTCTGCTGCATTAGGGAAGGAAATATTCTTCAGATTGGAGACTACCCGTTGCATACTGCCACTTCGACATTTTCGTCAAATATTTTCAAGATTGGAGCTATAGCTACGGCTGTCTTGTTTGTGCTCATGATTTGTTTGCTGGGATGTTGCTTATTCGGGTACAAGCGATCAAAGCCAAAGGAAGTGGATAGCCCTCGCAAGCAGGTAAGCAGAATTTTTCGAACATGATGCTGAGATCAGAATGCTCTCAGCTATTTTATTGGAGTAAAATACGGTACAAATTAGCTCAAATTAACAACAACATTTTTGAAGGAATAAATGAAAACCAGTTTAGGTCTACTCTATAAGTAAAACCAGAGCTAAGGAAAGAAGAGAAAGCAATGGGATAACCCGCATGGCTTGTTCGCCAAAGCCAGCACTGCCAAGCAATATCCCACCACCGGTAAGATATTTTACACAATTTTAGGTTGTGAAAAATTACTTGACGAACTGTTGCTGAACTACGGCTTTCGTGTTCCATAGAGCAAGGAAGGTAATGTGGAAGTTGTTTAGGGCAATTATTCACTTTTACAGCAGATATTTGTGAATAAAAATCAGTTGAAATGCGAAACGTTGAATTCTGCAGAGAAACGAGAGACATCTTTCCGACCAGTTAAATGTTACTTCATAAAGGTTGAGTATAGCACATACATTCAAATAATTTCAGTGCACTCCTGAAATCGTATTAGTTTGCATATAGGAAAATTTTTTTTTCAAAAAAAAAACTACACCATTACAGCGTCAGCCTTAGTTCCCCTTCAGCCGTTATTTGGCAGAAAGAAACGAATTTTCTGAGCGAGAATATGCTCTGATTTGTGGAAAACATTTCCCCTTATTTTCAAGCAGTCTGCACAACATGTGGTATTTTTAGAACCCATCAATGTCTTCGTCAGCATCCTCAAACTCGGGACTGCGAAATTCCCTCCTTTCTCATCGTGAAGCTGCGTCCACTCGGTCACAGCCTGATTCAGGCATCGATCAAGACACCGTGTCCGTGAATAGTTCTGTAACGGAGTACCTGATTTCTATAGGGGTAAATCCAAATCCGCTCCAGACGAGGCCGAGGTAAGATTTCAATCGACGAGTTGCGAAGAAGTTTATGACGAAGTAAGTTTAGGTATCGGCGGCCTGAAACGGTTGACTCTGCTTTGAATGACTACATCTACGCTAGAGTTGAAGATATACTTCCTCCTGGACCCGTCAGCTTAACAGAGAACGTGGAACAGCTCGAAGGTCTATACAAGGTATAGCACTCTTTTTCTGTCGTATAAAACCATACTTTGTATAATCTACACGATTTACAGTACACTCAATCTCGGCATCCAGCCCCAACATTTCAACCCCTTACCGAAATTTTCGACGAGCTTGAAGAGATTCAGAGGGAGCAGGGGAAGAAGCGAGAAAGAGAATATATCCAAGTGGAGATCTAGGTTGCTGCTGAATGGTCGCCTCAACGCTCAAATTCGTTTTTGGTTACTGCCCATGACCTTTTGAGTCTCCTTCCCGCCTCTATTACTTCTCACGCGATTTTCGACTGCCCTGTTTGTACATATTTTTGTGTCACTGATTTTGTACATACGGCGACATCCATACTTTCCCAGACTGGTGCTCAAATCCTTGTGTTATCTTGAGATTGTCAAAAGTATAATGAAGATTTTTTCGAAACTAGCTGGCATAGGCTCCGACGGGCCTTGTTAATACACCATGAGAAAGGTCACTATTCTTTGTGTACAGCATTACGCTTTCCTGTCTTAATTCTATAGGCCATTTCCTTGCCCCACTATGTTTTCGTAATGAGGCGGCTCACTTACCCGTCTGTACCAATCCCCAGCTTTTCAGACCGAGTCTTGCAAAAAATCGATAAAATCGATAAACGCAATGAGTATTTTTCCAAATCAATCCTTTGTTATAATCACGCTCAGTTACCCTTTCTCTCT